ATACTATTACTTAGATGGTAATTAATTAATCATTAATAATATTATTATTATTACTATAAGTAGTAAAATTTTTGCTGTTTATGTAAAAGTAAAAGTCGTAATGGCAATAAAGGATTGGCAATAATGAAGCCGTAGAAGTAAGTTGGATTGCATCTTTTTAGGGATATTGTTTTAAAAAGTTTCAAATATTTAAATTAAAAATTCTTTCTTTTTTTTCACTCAATCGCTCGTTTATTAATTTATTTATTTGTTCATCTATTCGTTCTTTCATTCGTTCAATTTTATTTGTTTGTTCGTTCGTTCATTCATTCATTAGTTCATTAGTTCATTCATTCATTTATTATATTTTTAAAATTCATCTTTTGTTAAAATAGTTACAACATATAATATTAGCCTATGCATAATTCTTATTAACTCAATTATTCAATCATATTTCTTACTTATCCCATTTTCAGGAATAATAATAATAATAATAATAATAACATAATAACATCAACAACAACAACAATAATATTAATAATCAGAGTAATAATCATAATAACAACAATATTATTTCTAATAAAGCAAGGGTAATGATGAAAACAAAAAGATCGAATTATTACGAGCCATTTATGAAGCCCTTCAACCAATCAGCAACCGTCTACCAGCCAAATCAATTTCAAGCAATTTCATTGGCTGGCCGGACGAGCCCTAATTCTCCGGCGGCCAATCAGAGCGTTTTCTTTCGGTGGTGTTGCTGCTGTACCTGCTATTGGTTGGTAGATGTTTTTACACACATTTGCACACGTATATACACACAAATTCACACACGCACATACACACACACACACACACACACATACCAGTACTTCAATGAAACAACGAGACTTTAACAGTAGCTGTAAAGTATCTCCAGAAAGTCATCTGTCAATCATACAACCGTGAGTTAATAGTAGTAGTAGTAGTAGCAGCAGCGGCAGTAGTAGCAAGTAGTAGCAGCAACAATAGCAGTAATTGTAATAGTATTGTTTATTTTCCTAATTGCATTTATACTAACAGTTTATTACTATATCTAAATCAATCAAAGTATCATACAATTTGTTCTGATTTTTTTCGTAAAATTTGCTGGGATCTTCTTGCATTTTAATCCAGTAACTGCGACACCGGAAAGAAGAACCGGCCTCTCTAAGCTATCATGCACCATTAGTATTATTATTATTTGTCAAATCAGATTTTTTTTCACTCGCTAGAATCACTCATTCCGAAGTTGTGTCATGGGGACAGTCGTTTGAAAAGTTACTGCATAGCAAAAGTAATTTTTTTTATTTAAATTCTATCATAATAGTATTAACAATTAAGTTATTTACATATAAAAAGAAACACTACACACACACACACACACACACACACACCACACACACACACACGCACACACACGCACACACAAACAAACAAACAAACAAAAATACAGAAGGCCAAGAAGTGTTTCGGCAATTTTTGAGGTCGGAGTTTAGTGAGGAAAATGTTCTCTTTTGGTTGGCCTGTGAAAATCTGAAACAACAGACGGTACCCGACGTAGTGGAGGAGCTAGTTAGAACCATCTACGATGATTACATCTCCATTTTCTCGCCTAAAGAAGTCAGCGCTAGATAAGTTTTTTTTTCAAGTTTTTAATGTTTTAGTAGATGTCTTTAGTGTTTTTGGTAATTTGAATGAGGGAAAGAATGAAGAAATGAAATAAAAAAAGATACAGGCGTGAAGATAGCCAGAATGTGCTGAAACGCCGTTAAAAACGCATCTCAACAACAACAACAACAATAATTTGATTGTTGATGCTGTTTGTTTGACCGTTTCTATAGCTCTCTTCTTCTTCTTTCTCGTGTCTTATCCTTTCAAGACATTGGCGACCATCGACCTCCACAAAACCCGATCTTTAACACTCTGTAGTGGTTGAAATGTGGTGATATTCAGCAAGTGACACAAGGACTTCACGAACGTTGTTCATTGTTGACCGCGACCTCTTTTCCCTGCAATCTTTCCAGTAGTTGTTAGATTTTCCATTCCTTCCTTCCGCATGATGTGACCAAAAAATTTAACTGCCCCCGTTGGATTATCTGCTGTAATTTTCTCTTTTCACAACCGGACTGTTTTAATACATCCTCATTCGAAGTATGAGAGGTCCAACTAATTTTCATAACTTTTCTCAAAAACCACATCTCAGTAGCGTTAATTCTTTGTTCCATTTCATTTAGAAATGGTTCAGGTAATCAGACTTCCGAGATAATTGAAGCTGTTGACTTGTTTCATTTGTGTGTGCGTGTGTGTGTTTGGTGATTGTTAAATAAACAAATCATCAATCAGCCAACCTACCAACCAATCAACGAACGACCTTCTAATCAACAAACAAACTCTTCCCATCTCAACCAAATCATTCACTAAAATTAGGTCAGCCTAGATTCAGAAGTAAGAGAGATAATCGACAAAAACATGCTGAAACCAAACAAAATGACCTTTGACCTTGCCCAAATTCAAATTTTCACCCTCATGAAACGCGACCCGTACCCGCGTTTCGTTGCGTCCAACCTCTACAAGCAGCTGCTCGAAGCTACCGCAGCTGTCGCCAGTGCCAACAGCTGCAGCAGCAGTAGTAATAACTATAATTGTAGTAATAATAATAACGATGATGTTAATGACAATAACAACAACAACAACAATAATAATAATAACAACAACAACAACAACAACAACAACAATAATAATAATAATAATAATAACAATAATAATAATTCTAATACCGATATTAATATAATTAGCGTATCGTCCAACATTAATATCGTTAATGTTACTACTGCTACTACAACTACCACCCCTACTACTACCGCTACTACTGCTGTTGTTGCAGCAGCTATTACTACTACTGCTGTTGCTACTACTAGTAACAACAACAACAACAATAATAACAATAACGCTCACGTGGTTTTTAATAGTACCTCTAAAGTATTGCCAATACATAACGCTAATAATAATAACAATCATAATAATAGCCAAAGCATTAATTGCTGTAAAATAGATAATAATAATAATAACAACAACAATAATTATGATAAAAACAATAATAATAATGATAATAATAGCTTAGTAAGTGATGATAATAAAATTAACGATCATCACAATGAAAAGAGTAAAAATTTGGTATATGATAATTGTATTCTTACTACTGCTACTACTACTGTTACTACTACTGCAACTACCATTACTACTACAGCTTTTACTACTACTACTCCTACTACTCTTATTACTTTTGCTATGGCAGCAACTTCTAATTTTTCTGTCGTCACCAGTACTTCTATTAATATTAATAATAATGGAACTAAAAAAACTACAACAGCTGTTTCGACGACTTTTGCTGCAGCTACTGATGCTACTACAACTGCCGCTCTAGCTTCTACTACTACAACTGCTGCTACTACTACTTCTGAAACTACTATCTCTACTACTTTTGCTACAAACTCGACAATACCATCCTCAAAAAGTACTGGTTTCATTTCATACACAAGTAGAAGAAATAGCACCAACAATAACTTTTATAGTATTAACGACATTGTTAACGTTGGCGATGATGACCTTATAAAAAATTCTTCAAACATCAACAGCATCATCTTCAACAACAACAACAACAGCAACAACAACAACAGCTGCAGCAGCAACAGCTCCAGCCGCACCAACACTAATTTCATCAATAATGATAAATGTAAAAAGACTCGAAGTAACAACATCAACAACCTGAGAAACATCAACAACAAAAACATCAACAACAACAACATCAACATTAAAAACAACATCATCAACAACAACAGTTTTGGCATTTTGTCAACTTTGAAAACTTTACAGTTACAAAATTCAGTAGAAATTTCGTACCTAACAACTTATAATAACAGTAACGATGATGACGACGAAGACGAAGATGGGACGAATGAGTGAAGAAAAAAGGAAAAGGAAGAAAGATTGAATTAGTTAATGAATGAATGAACGAATGAACCATCAAATAAATGAATAAATAAATGAAGAAATGAGTGAATGACCGGTTGAATAAAAGATGAGCTTCGTTGTTTTGTATTTTTTTCGGTTTTTCAATCTTCTCTCTCTCTCTCTCTCTCTCTCTTTCTCTCTCTCTCTCCCTCTAATTCTGTTTATTTAAAATCAATTTATTCATCTATCTATGTAGCTCTACTTTTTAATACATCCTGATAACATAATTAACCGAAACATAGTACTGTTATTATTATTGTTGTTGTTATTTAGTAGAGGCACGGCCTTAACTATATATATATATATATATATATATATATATATATATATATATATATATATATATATTATACACATAATTTTATATATATATATAAATGAATAGTGGATAAACGGATGAACAAATGAATGAACGAACAAACGAACGAACGAAAGAACAAACGAACGAACGAATGAACGACAAATACACACATGCAAGCATGTAGATAATGTCTTTCAAAGTAACCGTTGTTCATCGCCCTTCAACGCTAATTGTGACAACTATTATTGCTATAATATAAATTTATTACAATGATAATAATAATAATTTTTATTATTGTTGATGATTTGTCTTTTTCCTCTACTGCCTCTCATTAAACAGTATTATTTTAATTATAAATATTCTTGATGGTGTTATTATTATTATTATTATTGTTTAGTGCATCCGTATTTGAAAAGTTGTCAAAAACACTTGATTAAAAAGGTTTGTAGTCATTTTTGTATGTATGCGTGTGTTTCTGTATGTATGTGTGTATGTATGTATGTGTGTGCGTGTGTGTGTGTGTATATGTATGTGTGCGTGTGTGTGTATGTATGTGTGTATGTTTGTGTGTGTGTGGTGTGTATGTATGTGTGCGTGTGTATGTGTGTACGCTTGAATTATTATAGAACTTTCCAAACAAAAGAATTAAAAAAATAAATAAATATAAAATAAATATGAAATAATTAAATAACAGAAAATATAAAATAAAGAATTAAAAAAATGAGACCAAGTTCCAAGAGAATGCTACGAAGCGTCTTATCTGATTTCAACATGTTCTCGGCTCCTATATTTCACCAGTTCCATTCATACATTCTTATCACTCCAATCATCGACATCAATAAATAACTTTATTTAATGTATATAAATTATCATGGGTGTTATTATGGGTGTTATTATTACATAATCGTTATTATAGGTTGCTTAACAAGTATATATTAACCATACTAAGATGAATTTAACGAAAGCTTACGGACTTCCTGATGGGATGGTTTGAGAACGTCTTACAGGTTTATCTTGTTGAATTCCAATGCCATGGAGATCACTCCTTTTCAACTAAAGAATTGACAAATGAATATATATATATATATATATATATATATATATATATATATATATATATATCTTTTATATATATCTTTTATTTCATTTCTTTTACATAATATACTTAAAATCAATCCAATCATTCACATCTGGGAAGAGTTTATTGACTTAATGTTGTTGGTTTTTGATTGTGTCACCATACACTAGTATATATTCTTGACAACCGAGCTATTCAAGCTAAGTTGACATCGACTAGCTGATTCTAAATACTGATATGTAGGCTGAAATTATTCCAAGAGAATTCAACCCCTTCATGGAAGGCTGCTCTTCTTCACTTGTATGTTTTCTAAAAAATGCGATTCTCTTCCTTTTTCTTGGTTGCATTTTTTTAGCGTAAATACTCTCGAACATAGGTAGCACATGTATGTATGTATTTATGTATGCATGCATGTATGTATGCATGTATTTATGTATGTATGTATGCATGCATGCATGTATGTATGCATGTATGAATGTATTTATGTGAGTATGTGTGTATGTTTGTGTGTGTGTGTGTGTAGTGTAGACATTATATAAACCTTGGGAGATATTTCTCTATTGTTGTTGGTTCGTTTCAGTTTTTTTGTGTATTCGAGAGAGATGTAATAATTATAATTATAAATAATTATTATTATTATTAATAAAATAACAATAATAATATTTTATTATTAATAATATTAATTTATATATTCTTTTTATTATTTATATCGAAACAAATGGCTGAATAAATCGTATTTTAGTGGCTGAAAGTCTTAGTGTGATAATAATATTAATAATAAATAATAATAATAATAAATAATAATAAATAATAATAATAAATAGATAATAATAATAATAAATAAATAATAATAATAATAAAACGTTATTGGAAAGAGTTTTTCTGAACAAAAACCTCACAAAATTCAACACAAAAAACAACAACTACTGATACTATTACCAGTACAACCTCTCTCATGACATCATCATCACTACCACCCATCATAACATCATCACCATCATTACCACCAAAAGTTTCAACATCATTATCACCACCGTCTCATGACAATTGCCTGTATTGGACCGCTCTGTGCGGACGGAACTATCCATTCTGGGTTGGTTGGACCTCTGAATGAGTGAATGAATGAATGAGTGAATGAACGAATGAACGAACGAACGAACGAATGAATGAATGAACGAATGAACGAACGACTGGATGAACAAATGATTAATTAACGAACGAATGATTAATTGATCGAAAGAATAATTCATTCATTCATCACTACACGAATTCACAGTTTTATAGCAGCATCTCGTCTATTAGTAACCATAAATAAATGATTGGACTGATTGATGGGTAAATGAATAAATAAATAAACAAACGAAAAAATGATTGATTGAGTGATTCATTCATTTATTCATCCATTCATTCCTTCATTCATCCATCCATCAATCCACTAATTCACAGAACTATAGTGGGGTAACTCCATCCGTAACGAGGCCCGAGATCCCCATTTGCTTTCAAAACACAGTCCTGACATGGCTGTCTTGCGGAATTCTCTGGATTGTATTTCCATTTTATATTTATTATCTTTGGACAAGATCCGGACCGGAAGTGGAGAGATGTGCCATGCTGAAGAGGAGCTGGTTGAATGTCTTGAAATTGGTTGGTTGGCTGAATGATTGATTGCCATGGTTGATTTGTTAATTCCATTTGTCGACGAACTATTATTGATGATTTCATCATCTGAAGATAACGACGGTGATGACGATGATGATAATATATACTAATAATAATAACAATAATAATAATAACAATAATAATAATAATGATGATGATGATGATGATGAGCAGGTTTTGACATCAGTCCAGCTGGTAATAGCGCTGGTTGAGATCATCATTGTTGGCTGTCTGGCTGACAGTAGTGATGTCTACTTTCAATTTATGCTGGCCTCCGCTGTCAGATTTGCAACTATGGTTGGTTGGTTGGTTGATTGTTTGGTTGATTGATTGATTGATTGGTTGGTTGGTTGTTTGGTTGATTGATTGGTTGGTTGGTTGGTTGTTTGGCTGGTTGGTTAGTTGATTGGTTAGTTGGTGGTAGGCTGGTTGGTTGATTAGTTAGTTATTTGGTTAATTGTTTGATTGTTACATTACAAATTTTGAAACCGAAAGGCTAAAAATTATGATGAAGACGATGAAGATCTGTATCATTGCTCATTGAAGATAATAATGATACAAATAGCGATGATGACGACGACGATGATGATAACTCTAAAAATAGGCGCGGGTTTTCACTAGGACTCGATTATTATTACAGACCTGTTTATAAAATAATTACACATAATTGTTTTTATGTTTCTAAACATCAACGTAAATTACCATTGCCGCTAATGTTTTGATACCCCTACTACTCTTGCTGTTACTACTACTACTATTTCTACTGCTGCTGCTGCTTCTACTACTACTGCTATCAGGGCTGGCCTTAGGCAGTAGTAGGAGGCCCTAGGCAAAGAAAATTTGGTGGCCAACCCAAATAACTTTTTTTAGAACCTGAATACAGCTTATCACACCGTACACAATACAGCTTGTGTACAGAATACACAAGGAAATTTTATACATATAAAAAAAATTTCAACTTGAATACGTTTTTGTTTTATGGTAATTTCTTGACGCATACTATTGGGATTAATTAAAAATGAAACAGTTAGGTGTATAAAATTAATTCATCGAAGTAGGATTTAAAAAAAAAGTTGTTGTAATCTGCTGCTACTACTATTACTTCTGCTGCTACTACTACTACTTCTACTGCTGCTACTACTACTTCTACTCCTGCTACTACTACTACAACTAATCAACCAACCATCCAACCAACCAACCAACCAATCCTACCAACCAGCCAACCAACCAATCATCCAATCAGATCACCTTAAAAATACATACACTACACAGGTTCTTGCCTGGATACTTATATCATTGGAATTCCCCAAAGCTATTTATACATCTGCAGTGTTCACACTATGGGGGATTGTCTACGTCATCATCAATGCCTTTTCGGTTTATTCTTTTGCTTTCGTTTACGAGAAAGGGGTGCGTTTTTTTTAGATTGTATAGCGCTTTATTAATTAACTAATTGTCTAGTTAATTAATTTTGCCGTTAATATTTTACTTTTTTCTCAATCAACCATTCAAATCCTAACTAAATCAATCAACCAATCGTACAATCAATCTATTAATATTAGCCAATCAATCAACCAATTGTACAATCAATCAATTAACTAATCAATCAATTAATCAACCAACCAATCAACCAATGGATCAACCAATCAATTAAACCAGGGAATGAAAAAATTTGAATACGTCTACTTCATCCTCTACTGCCTTTCCTACGTTCTCTCAATCATTCAACTTATCCTCAACGTCGGTTTAGTTGACCGAAAGGTCACCAAATGTTACGGACAGATTAACCTAGGCGCGACCTTGACCTCGTCCAGGGTTGACCTCATTAGCGAAAGTAGGTCAACCGTGAGTGGTTATGATGGTGATACAGTCGATGGAAGGGATGGTAATGATGTCGGTGAGCCGAGAAGTGGTGATGACAATGATGAGGTTAGTTCTGGTGATGATGATGATGAAAATGGTGATGATGATGACGACGATGATAATGGTGAGGATGATGGTGATGATGATGGTGATGATTTTTGCAGAGCTACGTTGAAAATTTTCCGACATTTGCCTCATGGCTGACCTTCTTCTGGGTCAATATGTAAGTTAATTAACATTTTTTAAATGTCAAGGCCGCTACTACTACTATCACTACCGCTACTACTACTACCACTACCACTACTACCACTACTACTACTACCACTACTACCACTACTTACTACTACCACTACTACCACTACTTACTACTACCACTACTACCACTACCACTAATACTACTACTACCACTACTACCACTACTACTGCTACTACTACAAGTACTACTACTACAAATAATAATCCAACTAGGATATTGTATAAGGGTCTTCTAAGGGACCACAGCAGCGACAACCTGCCAAAGTTGCCCCGCCAGGATCGTTGTTGTGTGGTGGTTCCACCATTTGAGGAAAAATTGAATGAAGAATATTCTAGAAATTTCACGTATGTGTGTTTGTGTGTGTGTGTGTGTGTGAGAGAGAGAGAGAGAGAGAGAGAGTCTGTCTGCCTGTCTATCTAACTGTCTGTCTGTGTGTATTTTTATGTATACGTGTGCATATATGCATGTTCAGTTGTTGTTCGTTTATTTAAATCGCTTATTGTAAGCATCATTATCACCGCAAAAACATCATCGTTATCATCATCGTCATTTTTATTATTAGTATTATTATTATAATTATCGTAATCATCATTATCATTACGTTTAGACCAAAGAATTTAAAATCCTCGATATATCAAAGTTTGTTGTTGAGAACACTGGCCCCATCTCTGATTGGCTGGTGCCTCGTCAGACTACTTAGCATCATCCTACTTATCGTTAACTTAGTCATCTTCAAGTGGGTTCTGATGATGATAATGATGAATATGATGATGGAGATGATGATAACGATCACTCACTCACTCACTGACTCACTGACTCACTGACTCACTGACTCACTCACTCACTCACTCACGCACTCACTCACTCACGCACTCACTCACTCAATCACTCACTCACTCAAAAACAGACAGCTGATAGCTTACGTAAAATCGCCTGACCCAGTAGCTACGCCCTGGCTGGGCTATTTATATTCTGTCTCCCTATTGGTTGTCGCCATGGTCCGAGCCCTCTGTGTCACTCATTGGCTGAACGCCTGCGACAGAATCGGCATGAAGCTGAAGATATTAATAGCTACAACCGTTTACAGGAAGGTGCTTGGCTGAAATATTATAATTCATGTTAATTAATATTCATTTATGTTAATTTTACTAGTGATTAATTACATCCATAGTTGATTGTTGACCTGCACAAATTGATAGATTTCTTTAATTAGTTCGGCAATTGAGTGGTTGGTTGATTGACGATTGATTGGTTGGTTGATTGATTAATTAGTTGATTGATAGATTGGTGAAGTGATTAAACTTTGACCTAAATAACTTTGACCCAGATGTTGAGGTTATCGAGTTCATGCGCCAGTCAAGATATGGACATTGGCTACATCAGTAACCTCATGTCTATCGATTCGCTCAAGTTGTTTCAGGTTGGTTGGACGGTTGGTTGGTTAAAAGATTGATTGAATAAATGATAAATTTATAAGTTTGATTGGTTGTTACCAAAGTAGTTGATTGATTGATTGTTTAATAGATTGATCACTTATATTTATCAATCAATCAGCAATCAATCAACTAATCAATCAATCAACAGTCAATCGATCATTCAATCAATCAACTAATCAATCAATCAATCAACAATCAACTAATCAATCAATCAATCGATCGATCGATCAATCAGTCAGTGCGTTCCTTACACGAGATAGTGACGATGCCAATATATTTAATTCTGGCTTTGATCTTTTTGTATTCTACTTTGAAAGTGGCTGGAGTTATCGGTATGTTTGTTTGTCTGTCTGTCTGTATGTATGTATGTAAAAAGAAATGAATTAATTGACTAATTCAATGAATGAATGAATTAATTAATTAATGAGTGGATAAATTATTTAGTGAATAAATCAATGAATGAATGATTGGCTGAAGGTATGGTCTGTCTAATCGTATTTGTTCCAACAACTACATTCATCTTGGCTCGACTCAACAAAAGACTTCAGGTAGAAATAAAAATTATTATTATTATATTATTGTTCTTTTGCTTTCTTCTTCTTTTTCTTATTATTATTGTTGTTGTTGTTGTTTTTGTTGTTGATGTTGATGTTGTTAATGTTTTTGTTGTTGTTGTTATCAGGAAAGGCAGATGCATTCTAAAGATCGTAGATTAAAATTCATCAGCGAAATATTAGCCGGGATTAAGGTTAATTGATTGATTGATTGATTGATTCAAATGATTGATTCAACCGATTGACTGAATGGTTGACTGGCTAATTATTTATTGATTAACAAACCAATCAACCAACCAACCAAACAGCCAAACAACCAACCAACCAATCAACCAATCAACCAACCAACCAATCAACCAATCCACAAACCAACCAACCAATCAACCAACCAACCAACCAATCAACCAACCAATCCACAAACCAACCAACCAGGTATTGAAACTGTATGCCTGGGAAGATCCATTCGAAGAGAAGGTGTGTTCAGCACGGACCAAAGAAATGAAATCAATATGGTGGTCGGCCATTTATAACGGTATCGGTACTATCGTCTGTCTGATTAGTCCATTTGTGGTTGGTAACGTAACTACTTTTACTACTACTACTACTTTTCATACTACTACAACTACTACTACTACTACTACTAATACTACTACTTTTCATACTACTACTACTACTGCTCCTCATACTACTACTACTACTACATATACAACCAAATATACAAATCCATTCGCACAAATAAACACACACAAACACACATACACATTTTTCAGGTTTCCTTAATAATCTTCTGCTACCACGTGTATGTGGATGGGCTTGCACTTGAACCCGGAGACGCCTTCGTATGTCTGTCGCTCGTCTGCATGCTTAACTGCAGTATATCTGTCATGCCGAGCTCTTTTGCTTTTGTCATACAGGTTTTTTGCTTTTTGCTATCATCATAATCAACACCATCATCATCGTCATCATCATCGTCGTTATCAGCATCATCATCCTTACCGAAACAATCATTATTATATCGCAATTATTATTATTATTATTATTATTATTATTATTATTATTATTATTATTATTATGATAGGGATATATATCGGTGAAGAAAGCTTCAACGCTGATGGACATGGACGAGGTGGAAGGCGACCTGAACAGGACGTTCGTGGAAAGAGGTGAATGAATGAATGAATGAATGAATGAATGAATGAATGAATGAATGAATGAATGAATGAATGAATGAATGAACGAATGAATGAATGGATGGATGGATGAATGGATGGATGGATGAATGAATGAACGAACGAACGAACGAACGAACGAATGAATGAATGAATGAATGAATAAACGAATGAACAAATGTATAAAAATATTGATCGATTGTGTGATTTAAAAGGACAAATATAATTTTTCAATTCAATAGAACCGGCGCCGTCAATCCAGAACTCCAGTTTCTCATGGGGTGGAGTAAAATCGCACATGAGAGAGTAAACATTTAATTATTCAAATATATATTTCCCTCTCTTCCTCCTCTCCTAATCCATCTCAACCACATAACTAATATCATAATCAGTCCCAGCGCTCTCAATATCTTCGTCATCGACACCCCACCCCTCATTAATATAAACGTCTCAATCATCCGTAGAAATGGTGGCCGTCGTCGGATTGGTCGGCAGTGGAAAGTCGTCACTGCTGGCTGCCATGCTCGGAGAGATGAAAACATTGAAGGGAGGAGTGAAAATTCATGTTGGCGTGTCCTAATTAACATTTTAATACTCTTGCTATGTTGTCATTGTTCATATTAATGTTTGTATCCTGCGATTAGATTCATATGTTAAATGCTCTTTTCACTCTAATATGAAAAGTTATTTAGCTCTGGTATAAATCAACCAATCAGCCATGTGACCAATCAATCGGTCCTTCAATCAATCAACCAATCAACCAACCAATCAATCAACTGACCAACCAACCGACCAACCAATCAACCAACCAACCGACCAACCAACCAACCAACCAACCGACCAATCAGGAGAGAGCAGTTTACGTATCGCAGCAAGCATGGATTCAGAACTGCACGGTCAGAGAAAACATCTGCCTGAACAGACCTTTCGTCCAGAAGAAATATGAAAAGGTTGTAAGCGCCTGCCATCTAGCGGACGATTTGAAGAAATTTCCCGGTGGGGACTTGTCGGAGCTGGGGTCAAAGGTTAAGAGGTTTTTTATCATTAGAATTATGATTCGCAAAATAATTTATTCATTCATTTCTTTGGTTGTTTATTCAATTATCCATCCATTATTTTATTCATTTTTTCATTCACTCACTCACTCATTCATTCATTTAGGGCGCCAACTTGAGTGGTGGACAGAGGCAGAGGGTGAACTTAGCGAGGGCAGTTTACTCGAAGGCTGACCTTTATCTTATCGATGATTCGCTCAGTGCGGTTGACCCGCAAGTGGCCAAACATATTTTTAAGGAGGTCATCAGTAGAGAGGGACTGCTAAGAAAGAAGGTTTTTGATTGGCTGACTGGTTTGGTTGGTCGGATGTGATTGGTTGACTAGTTTTTGGCTGGTTTGTTATGATTGGTCAGGTCAGTTGTAATAGATTGAATGTATCAATGAAAATGATGACGATGATACGAATAAGATGTATCAACCAATAAGATGCATCAACCAATAAGATGCATCAACCAATAAGATGTATCAACCAATAAGATGTATCAACCAATAAGATTTATCAACCAATAAGATGTATCAATGCATCAATCATCATTCTGACAACCACCATCATCACAAACAGACCAGAATATTCGCCACGAATTCGATTGGATTTTTACCGGAAATGGATTTGATAATAGTAATGAACAGTGGAGCTATCGAGTGCATTGGTACTTATGGCGACATAATGAAGCACAAGGGGGATTATTTCACCTTCCTCCAACAACACGCAGACTCGATTAGGGAGGAATCCGGTTGGCTGGGGCCTGATTGATTGATTGATTGGTGGATAAACTGATTGAATGGATGAATGATAGGATGAATGAATGAATAAATGAATGAATGAATGAATTAATTAATTAATGAAAAGATAGGTGAATGAAAGGATAGGTGAATGAGAGAGTTAGGGTTAAAACGACGAACGGATGAATGAAATGAAATTTAACTGGAAAAATAATTTGACTGATTCGAATTAAAAACTTTAACTCAGTCAGTAGTTCAACTAACTAACAAATCAAAACAGTGATAAATTTTAAGTTAAAATTAAAAACTGTTCGCCATCTTAATTCCTCAAAACAGCTGACAGAGTGGCAAAGAGGAGTTTAAGCATTGGGCCCGGGTCCATTACCCCTTTCAGAGAAGAAGGATTAAATGCAGGGCTCGCTAGGTTAGTGGATTGATGGACGAATAGATGAATGAATGAATATATAAATAAATAAATGAATGGATGAATAAATAAATAAATAGTTGAATGAATGGATAGATGAATGAATGAATTAATAAGTCAATAATTAACGATTGAACAAATGTATGTATGTAAGAATGAATGACTTGGATAACTAATTAATTAAATAAATTGATGACGGTGCGAATGGTTGGATGAATGAATGAATTGAACGAGTTGAATGAACTGTTAGATTAATAAATGAATGAACGAAAGATGGATTGAATAGATCATTTCATTCATTTCTGTTCGCAGCAAGCAGATGTCTAACTATGAAACTTCCTACTGGCGCATCCAATCACAACTCTCCAACAACTTCCGGATGATGAGCATTGGTGAGATGTGTGTGTGTGTGTGTGAGAGAGAGAGAGAGAAAGAAAGAGAGAGAAAGAGAAAGAGAGAGAGAGAGAGAGAAGAGAATGGATGAAATGAATGAACGAACAAACAAAGGAACGATTGAATAAATGAATGAATGACGAGTGTATAACTCAAAAAAGTTTGACAAACCTTGAGAATGAGAAAATGATTGAATCAAATATGCATGTGTATCTGCGTGTGTATATATTATACATTTAATTAATTATAAAATACATTTAATTATAATATTAGTGTGAAACGATTTTAAACATGGAAAACTCAAATTAGGAGCTAAACAATCACACAATTGAAATTAAATACCTAGTAAAATTTTGAACGTAATAAAAAAAAGATCACCATCATCATCATCATCGTCGTCGTCGTCCTCGAACATAATAAAATACATTAAATTATTAAGTATGTTGAAATATAGTTGAAACAAGCGAGTTGTAGCCAAGTGAGATTTAAATGTCAACAAGTTTCATGATATATTGAAACAGAAGAAAGGAGTGTGTAGAGAAAGAAGGAGTTTGATGAAGTGGATATTTCGTCAAAATCATGTTATATTGTCGTCAAATTAATTAAATAGATACAACGCTGATATACACACGTATGCATTACAATTGTCAATTAAGATATCTGCATTAATTTAAATTCATGATTTTGATTGATGGATGAAGGACTTAATGATATTTTTCAGCTGCTTCTCATCAACCTTATAATTGTCGTGAATTTGATTCTGGTCGAATAACGTTATTAGTTAGGTATTGATTAGTTGTGTAGTTGTTGGTAGAGTTGGGTTGTGTTGTTGAGTTTATCGAGGTACTTCTCTGTCGCAGTATCTGTTAATTTGTTGGAGTAATTGTTGTCGACTGAGAAATGTTTAATACACGAATAAGTTCATTGTTAAATATTTCGTTATCGGATGAGATTCTGTTGGCGCGTTTTTATAAATCATTATTAGATTCATTTTTTGGTGACTCCATATTTGATTGGCATTTGAATTCATAATTGTTCCTTTTGCACTATATACATTCAATAGTTATCATCTTTTACACTTTAATTAATTATGTGTGTTTTATTTTGTTGTGTTGACTTGTGTATTATTATTTATATATATAAGATAAGTTTATTATGTACATTACCTATTTTATTTATTTATGGTTTATATTTTCGAATTTTTGTTTGGCAAGGGGTTCTGCCCGTGCTGTTTTGAATAATAATAATAATAATTATTATTATTATTATATATATATATATTTACATATTTATACATTTAACAAATCAACCAATCATCTGCTAACTAACCAATCAATCATCCCAAATCAACCAATCAACAATTGACTCACTCCCAACCAACCGACCAATCAGCGGACGATATGAACCTTTCCAGCGAGTATGACGTAGACGAATGGCAGCCCAACACTTTCACGGCCACAACCAGCCAGATAAATGTTGAAAAAGTGGACTCAGGCCAGGTAGGCGGAGCTAAAAAATCAATCATTGGCCAATTGGCCTGTCTTATTTAACATAATTTATTATAAAAATAAAAAAGACAGAGAAATATAAAAAAAGGGTGAGTGAGACACAAACAGACAAAGTGAACAAATGATTTAATGAATGAATAGATGAATGAAGGAATGAATGAAAAACTGAACAAATGAATGAATTAATGAATGAACAAATTGAAACCTCCAATTCAGATAAGGTGGGGGGCCATAGGTGATTACATAAAATCAGGGGGCTTATTAATATTCATGATCGTTCTGATCGGTCACCTGGCTATGTTAATGAGCCAGTGCGCCTCCTACATTTGGATACAGAGATGGACAGACAACATAACCAATGAGACGCTAGATCAATATGTGACGTCATACGGCGTCATAGGATTGGTCGAAGGTTTGCTTGGGGCCGGGTTTTTGTTTGAAATTTGAATTTGTTTTTGGTAGATTACCATTATTATCATCATCGTAAACATCGTCATCCTCTTCCTCCTTACATCATCATCATCATCGTTATCAAATCGTCATCATCATTATCATCATCGTCATCATCATCATCACCACCGTCATCATCACCACAGTCATCTCCATCATCATCATCTCCCTGATGATGGCATTCGGTTTTTCGTCGGCTTCAAAAGCTCTCCACGATAAAGCAATCAAAAGATTGTTCAGGTTATGATGATGATGATAATGGAGATGATGATGATAGTGATCGCTACAACCATCATTATCATCACCACCACCAGGGCCCCAATAAGTTACTTCGACACGACGTCCCCCGGCCAGATTTTCAACTACATGAGCACCGACCTTGACACGGTGGACTGTGCCCTACCCCTCGATGTTCAACTCTGGCTCATCAGCTTCTGCGTCATCATTTCTAGTATCGGTTAGTGGATGGATGGATGGATGGATGGATGGAATGAATGAATGAATGAATGAATGAATGAATGAATGAATGAATGAATGAATGAATGAATGAATGAATGAATGAATGAATGAATGAACGAACGAACAAACAAACGTACGATCGAACGAACGAACGAACGAATGAATGAATGAATGATCAACACATTATTTTATTTGGCCAATGACAGTACTCCTTTACTCAATAATATTATCTTTAGTTATTTATTATTCATTATTTATATTTTTATTTCGTTTATTTGTTATTTTTATTTCTTTACGTTTGATGACTGTCGTACAAGCCTTGCGGGCTTCTGGTTTTTTATCATTAAAATGAGAAATGCATTTCGTTTAAATGCATTTCGTTTCGCTTCGTTTCGTTTAAATGCATTTCGTTTCGCTTCGTTTCGTTTAAATGCATTTTGTTTCGGTTAATTTATTGAACTTGATCAGGAACAATCGCATACGCCGATCCCATCTATTTGTGCATCACCTTACCTATCATGCTTGTCAGCGCTATTGTGCAGGTAATGTGTGTGTGTGTTTGTTTGCTTGTTTGTTTGATTGGTTGGTTGATTGGTTGGTTGATTGGTTGGTTGATTGTTAGTTTAGATGATTGATTGGTTGGTTGATTGGTTGGTTAGTTGATAGGTTGATTGATTGGTTAGTTGACTGGTTGATTGACTGATTGGTTGATTGGTTGAATGGTTGACTGGCTGGCGAGTTGGTTTCTATTCACTTGGTTGATTGATTGATCAATTGACGGACTGATTGACCAATTAACTGGCAAACTGACTGATTGTTTATTCGATTGATTGATTGATTGATTGGTCGAGTCACTTTAAAAAATGTTCTCAGCGTATATACGGGCGCAGTGCCATTCAGTTGAGACGGGAGTATGCATTGAAGAAGACGCCTGTCTATTCGCATTTTGAAGAAAGCATATCTGGTAGGTACAACTGTCTGCAAACTTTGTTCATTCTTTCGTTTGTTCATTCACTCATTCACCAATTTATTCACTGACTCATTCATTCATTTATTTATTCGTTCGTTCGTTCATTCATTCATTCATTCATTCATCCATCAAAAGGCGCGGTCTCAATTCGAAGCTACGGCAAGCAGAAACTTTTCATGTCCAAGGCCGACAGACTCAATGACGAAAGTCACAAACCCTGGCACAGTTACCTGGCTTGTTGGAGGTCAGTAGGTCAAAAGGTCAACCTTACACACACACGCGCGCGCACACACACGCACACAAACACGTACGCAGATGGTACACGCTGTACAACGAGACCATGGGTGTCCTGGCCATATTCCTCACCGCCATTACGGCTGTCATCGTGGAAAATGAAAAGTTGTAGTGGTGATGTTGATGATGGTGGTGATGTTGCTGCTGCCGCTGCTGCTGATGATGATGATGACGACGACGATTATGATGATGATGATGAACATGATGTTGAGGATCAATTCTTAACTCTATCATAATTTACTTCTTTTTTATAATTTTTAGTATTATTCTCATTCTTCTTCTTCTTTTCTTTTTCTTCTTCTTCATATTATTATTTTTATTATTATTATACTTATTATTATTAGTAAAAACACCCCGTATGAGATGAGCCCCGGTCGCGTTGCACTAGCCCTCTTCAGTATATTCCAGGTATTAATTAATTAATTAATTAGTCTCATTAATATTCATGAATCGAACTAATTATTATTTATGAACAACTATCAGACTAATGAGTTAATGAATATGCGTGTTAATCATTGTTTGACACGTTTGTTGTTAAAAAATTTTAATATATCTGGCCAATCACGTACCAGCTTTTAGTCAACCAACAAATCAACCAACCTATCAAAAAACTGTCTGACTTCAACTAACTAATCACATAAGAGCTATCATTCAGACCAATCAAACACTGCCCTTTATATTTATCTGACCAATCACGTAACAGTTAATTACTTGAACGAACCAATTAGATACTGCCACACATTCCAATTGCGACGAGAATGATGATTGAAATTGAAGCCCACATAGTTGCTGTTGAGAGGCTGATGAAGTGTGCTTCCATTCCGCAAGAGGTCGGCTGTATGAATGAATGAATGAATGAATCAATCAATCAATCAATCAATCATCAATCAATCAATCAACCAATCAATCTACTAAGGCCCCTCGCCAATCGGCAAAAGGTCACGAGCCCCCAGAAAGCTGGCCCACGGAAGGTCACATAGAGTTCAAGGACCTCTGCGTTAAATATCGACCTGATTTGAAGGATGACTGTCTTAAAAATCTGAACTTCGACATAGTTCCTAAAAGCAAAGTCATTCATTCTTATAACTGTTGAGATCAAATGATCAAATTTTAAAATTTTACACACACAGACACACACACACACACACACACACAGACCAACACACACACACATACAGACACACACACAGAGACAAACACACACACACACACACAGGTCGGTGTAGTCGGTGAAACAGGAGCGGGAAAATCCTCAATAATAATATCTCTTTTTAGGATGATGGAGGCCCGTGCCGGTTCGATCAGTATAGACAACCGTAACATCGCCAATGTTGGTTTGCACGAGTTGAGATCTAAACTAACTTGTATTCCGCAGGTATGTGTGTGTACGCGTGTGTTTGTGTGTGTGTTTTTGTGCGTGTGTGTACATATGTGTTTGTGTGTGTGTACGTGTGTGTTTGTGTGTGTGTACATAGTATTTCATTTATGTATGCGTGATGTGTCTCTATTCAGTTGAATTCGAAACAGCATGAACGCAAGTGAAAAACATTACTAGAAAAATCACACACACACACACACAAACACACATACACACACATAAACACATACACACACACACACACACAAACACACACAGGAACCAATCCTATTTTCCGGCACGTTACGTAGCAACTTGGATGCCCTACGCAACCACACGGACCAACAGATATGGAACTCCCTGGTTCAAGCCCAGCTAGAAGACTTCATCAAAAAAAACATGGCTGCCGGTCTGGATCACGTGATCAACTCGGAGGATGAAGTTTGGTCGGTAGAGGAATTATTATTACTATTTTATTATTGTTATAATTATTACTACAATTATTATTATTATTGTTATTGTTATTATTATTATTATTACTACGATTATTATTATTATTATTACTACAATTATTATTATTATTATTGTTATTATTATTGTTAAATGTACGCCTACAACAGCGTAGGCCGGCGCCAGCAAATATGCCTGGCCAGAGCTCTTCTGCGAAACTCGAAAATAATCTTACTGGACGAGCCTACTGCGGCTGTTGACTACCGAACCGACCAGACGATCCAGGAGGTCATCAGGAAGGAGTTCAACGAGTCGACCATCGTCACTGTCGCCCACAGACTGGCCACCGTCAAGGATTGCGACAAGTATGCTTCGATACTATTCGTTTACAATGTTTGATTCGATTCGAAACGATATTTGTTTTGTTATTTCTGCTTGTTAATTTGTTTTGATGTGACACCCCCTTTCCAGAATACTGGTACTAGATTTTGGTCAGGTCGTAGAATACGAAGCTCCGGAAAAACTTCTAGCCAATCCGAACTCGAAATTCTCTCAGATGAATAATGCCGCCAAAATGGAGCAAATGTGATTGGCCAGTGCCAAAATGGAACAGACGTAATTGGCCAGCGGATATTTTTTGTAGCTCTGCCACTTTGTTATTAAAATTTCAAGTAAATACACACGCGCACACACACGCACACACACACGCACACACACACATATATACACATACAGGTACTTAGTTAAGAATTTTATCTCAGATCATTTTACGCTTTCACATTAAAGAAAACATTTTAGTTTAGTGTTGTTGGCCCAAAAACTTTTGTTAAACACTTTTCAAATTTGTTGAGTGGCTAGAAATACAATTGTTATTATTGTAATTTCTTCAGCAAGAGTTGAACCTTCACCAATAAGAGCCATCTTACTGTCTGTTTTTTAACATTTTCTAACTATTTATTTGTATTGATCCATTTTAAAGAAGAAGAATGATTGATATTTAATCTCTATGAATTTTTTTATTGAAAAGATTCAACAACTAAAATAAGATTAAACGCCATCAATTGGTATTTATATCAGCAAAAGTTCCACAAACGTTAAGATATATTTATGCACACACACACACGCACGCACACACACACACACGAAAACAAACACACGCACACACGAAAACAAACACACGCACACACACATACATACATACATACATACAAACATACATACATACATACATACATACAAACTAACAAACAAACATATACATTTCAAGTGTAAAACGGGTGAACATCGAACAATGGGTAGAATAGAAAGGTAATAATGAGAATAACAATAAAAACATCAATAATAATAATAATCATCATCATAATAATAAAAAAATAGGGATAATAATAAAATCAATTAAAATCAATCGCTTAGAAGTTTTAAAGTAGCTTAGTAGTAATAAAAAAAGTCAATTGAATATTTAATTGAGTTGTTATTCATTGTTCAATTGTTATCTCAATCACCAACTTTTCACCATCATCTTCATCATCAACGTCACCATCATCATCATCACTCCAATCAACATTATTATCATCATCATCGTCAATAATGATTGAGAGATGCATCGAGTTTTAATTCATCCACAGGAATATATTTAATCGGTGACGACGACGAAGATGACGATGAAGCAGCTGCTGTAGAAACTGCTGTTGCTGCTGTCAATGGGGGTTTCGTCGGGGTATAGGGGCGGTATGTCGGCGGGTTGAAGCAAGCTTCCATCGACGAGCAGTAATAACCTGGAAGGAGGTGGTGGTGGTGATGATGATGAGGACGAAGTTGACCATTTTTAATGTGATGATGATGATGATAATGATGATGTCAATGAGTTAAGCGGCGATAATGATAAGTGATGGTGACAAAAAAAAATTATGACAAAATAAAAATGATATCAAATTATTAACTTCTATCAAAGCAGAAAGCAGACGCGTCGTCAACACTCTTGAGCGACAACTTCGACTCTGACGACGACTGCAGCGACTCCTGCTCCCTCAAGCCCCAATTGCCGCCACCACCCTCTAGTCTACCACTACTACCCCCTCCTCCGCCATTACTACCACCGTCTCCCTCAGTGACGTCATCACTCTTTTCGGAAAGTTCCGTGACCGATTTTATGAATTTTTCCACTTGTTTCAGGGTCAATGCGTTGTGGAGGGTTTCGAGTGGGCGGAGACTTGGAACTGTCCAGCCATCTGATTGGTTGAAATATATATATATATATATATATATATATATATATATATATATACATATATACATACACATATGTATGTATGCAAACTATATCATAGTAGTTAACATGGACAGCTACAATGCAAGGTCTAATAGTATTGATAATTCTACTACAACTACCGATAATTATATAATTATAATTCTTACTGGTGTAATAAGTATTGATAGAGTGAAAGATGAAGAGTTAGGAATATGGTGTGATGAATATTCATGAATAAGGACCATGAAAAAGAAAACATGAAATAACTTGAAAAATGTGTGATAAAAATAGAACAAGGTGGGTGTGGTTCAATTGAATTAATTAACATAACCAATTAACATATTAACCGGGCAATAAATTGGTGAAAATCAGAAATACGTTGTGATGGTGATGATGTTGTTGTTTTTGGTTGGAGATGAGGATGATGGTGACGACGAAGATGATGATGAAAAAGAAGAGTTGAAATATACACATTCCGTAGAAAAAGCGTCATCATCATCGTCATCATCATCGTCGTCGTCATCATCATCATCATCGACGTCATCACCATCATGAAGAATGAAACAAAAAACTAGGAAGAAAAAAACTTTTAACGAACGTGAAAAAGCAAACTCCAAAACTTATCACTAAAAATTTATGACTAAAAATTAGCATAATATTTGCAAAACCAGCCTCATAATTAGCAAAATTTATGCATAATTAGCGTGAAACATCCCCAATTAGGATAATTTATTAATAGATACATAGGCCGTTCGAACCAATAGTTTGGACTTTTCCGATTTCAGACAGTATAGGAGCGCTTGTTGAACCGCTAATTAATTTGGTGCTGAAGAGAACTTTCTGGGTGGCTTCAATCAATCAATCAATCAATCAATCAATCAATCAATCAATCAATCAATCAATCAATCAATCAATCAATCAATCAATCAATCAATCAATCAATCAATCAATCAATCAATCAATCAATCAATCAAGCGATCGATCGATCGATCAATCAATCAATCAATCGGTCAACCTAGTTAGTATTCATTTATTTAATCAGTAATTTTTGTACTTATTAATACAGTGACTCAATCGTCTGATCATCAAACGATTATTTAGTCAATCGTTCCTTCCTTCATTCATCTATTCAATCATTCATTCAATCAATCAATTGATCATTCATTCATTCGTTCATTCATTCATTCGTTCATTCATTCATTCATTCATTCATTCATTCATTCATTCATTCATTCATTCATTCATTCATCCAATTAAACTAAAACAGAATGAGATAAAAATGTAAAACACACAGACCAGAAATAAAAAATCAGGTAAAAAATTTCCGACTCCGCTTTTCTTCCCGCCTCAAACATCACCACCATCATCATTACCATCATCATCATAATCACATCGTCGTCATCCTCATCATAATCATCATCGTCGTCATCGTCATCGTCATAATCGTCGTCATCATAAAACTTACCCAGTGATTCAAGATTTGGTGAATTGAAGAGAGCCAAGTAAGAACACCTTTTATGTCTTCCACCGTGCTCTATAAAATAGTAATAACGATAACAATAATAATAATAATAATTATTATTATTCAAATTCAAAAAATCTTTTAATCAGTGATTCAGTGGAATACATTACTAGGGAGACCCGGAGTTTTCACTTGTTGGGCCACCCTATCAAGATATTGCAAGAGTATGAACGAAAGGAAAACTTGATGTGATCAACGTGGCGGAACGCAGATCGAACAAAACGAATGATAAACAACTCAAAGAACAGAAATTGCAATAGTTGAATAGTAAAATATGAAAAGTGATCGTTCAAAATTAACTTATGGACAAATTTCTTGAAAAATACAATAATTCATTAATTGTTGTTTGTCTGGAGGCCATGTCAACCCATTATTACCATAGTTATCATTATCGTTATTGTATTTTACTGCACGACTCAAAAACTCTAACCTTTGTGGTGGTGGTGGTGATGATGATGATGGTGGTGATGATGGTGGTGGTGATGATCTCGATTGGACTGATTACTATGACTGTGATGGTGCTGATGATTGTTGTTGTGGTGGTGGTGGTGGTGCTGATGATGACCGCCGAGTTTCTTCTGTATGGTCTCCAGTGAACGACTTCTAGTCTCTTTGGCCACACGCTCCAGCATGTTTGTTGACGACGACGACGACGACGGTGGTAGTAGAGGAATCGTTGAAGCTACTGATGATGATGACGATGATGATGACGATGATGACGACGATGATGATTGTGATGATGATTGTGATGATGATTATCATTATTACAATTTTAATCGCTAATAATTTCATTTTATTATTTTTACTATACCAGCAATAGCAATAAAGCAAGATAAAAAAAGACCAAAACATACAACTAACCAGTGTCATAATTGAAACCGGAAGAAGATGGCGGCGTCACGTGACCGGAAATGACGGCATTCTGCTGCTGCAACTCAAGCAAGCAGCTATAATCGTGAAGCTGCTGTTGCTGCTGCTGTTCTCGTTGCTGTTGTTGTTGTCGCTGTTGCTTTCGCTGCTTTCGTTGCTGCTGCGTTGCTGCTTGCTGGTAGATGACGTCATCATCGTCGTCGTCGTCGTCGTTGCTGTCGTTGTTGCTGTATATGTTGCAGCAGGGCTCGCGCGTTGAAATGCCTTCTGTTGTTGTTTGTTGTTGTTTGTTGTTGGTGATGTTGTTCGTTACGTTGAATGTGTTTGTTGGTTGCGAGTTGTCATTCATTTTATTGCCAACTGTACCATCATCATCATCATCACTTTCAACATCGTCATCATCATCATCGTCGTCGTCATCTTCCTCATCGTTGTCGTCATCATTATCATCATCGTCCTCCTCCTCATCATCATCATCGTCGTCCTCATCATCATCATCATCATCATCGTCGTCGTCTTCCTCATCATCATCAGGGCAACCTACCAACACTTCCAGAAGACTGGTGCCTCCTTCTGGAATTCACCAAATTACTGTTGTTGCCACTCATGCCACTACTATTACCATGACCGCCGCCATTACTACTACCAGCACCGCAACCACTACTACCAAACATGACGTCATTTGTGGCTGCAGCCGACGACGATGATGATGATGATTGCTGTTGTAGGAGTGTCGTCATCTCGATGGAATGTTTCTTCACTATGGCTTTCTTGCATTCCTGGCTGGGTGGCTGGATCGTGAAAGTGATTGAATAAATGAATGAAATAATGGATGAATGACTGATCGAATGACCGACCAATAGATTGAATGAATGGATAGGTGAATAAATTAACCAAAGTTTTTTAATTAATTAATAGAACAGGATAAAACCGTGCTGCAGCCAATCAAGAGCAGCCAATCCCAACACTCAACTCACACGAGTGCGCGCACACACACACACACACACACACACGCACGCACACACGCACGCACACACACACACACGCAACACAAACCGTGATATCATCGAGAAAGTTTCTAAAGAGGCTACCCGTACTACTGCTACTACAGCTTCCCAGCGAGAGTGGCGATGTTGCTTCAGTCATTGTTTCCGTCGGAGTTTCGTCAACAAAAGCAGTAGCAGCAGCAGCAGCAGAAGTATCAGAAGCTGTTGTAGTGGTAGTAGCTATAGTATTTGGCAGTGAGGTCAGTGACCTAGAAACAGCGGCGTCGATTGGCGATGAGTTGTTTGACATAGATAGTTTGTCGAAACAGATGATCTGATTGGTCAGTAATGATCTTCGTTGAGGAGAATGTTGTGGTTGTTGTTGCTGCTGCAACAGCTGCTGATGAGAAATCGAATGCAGTGGCCACAAGGTCCTCGATGTTGTTGTTGTTGTTACCAGACTCTGTTAAAATAGCGATCTGTTGTTGTTGTTGTTGTTGATGATGATCATGCCGTTCTTGTTCTTTATTGGGTAGACATCTTATTGAAAAATTGTAGCTGTTAGTGGCAGCAGTAGCAGAAGTAGAAGCAGCAACAACGGTAGTAGTAGAAGCAGCGGAAGTAGCGAAAGTAGCGGTAGTAGCAGCAAAATTTTGCGGGTCCACAAGTGTGCTTGTAAATAAATTCTGTCTCGGTAAACTTTCGATCGTTAGCATTGAAAAAGAAATTGGCGACGACGATGATGATGATGCTATTGGGGGCGACACAAATGATGATGATGATAACAATGATGTTGCTGTTGTTGTTGTTGTTGATGATGATGGTAATATTTCGTCACGTTCTAATGATGAGGAGTAAGAGATGCTTTCCATTTCCTGTTTAATGAGTGAGTGAGCAAAAGAATGAATAAATGAATGACTGCATGTCAATGAATGAATGGATGAATATAAATGAATGAATGGATGAATGAATGAATGAATGGATGAATGAATGAACGAACAAATGAATGAATGAATAAACACCAAAATTACCACCACTATCGCCACCAACGGCAACAAAACCACAAAAAAAAGCATGAAAAACCTTTTCAGTTTTACTTTCATTCACCACAAATCCTCTTCTTATCATCGACCTCGACGACCTATCAACGTGCTGTTTTGCAGCTGCTGCAGCAGCAGTAATAGTTGTAGTAGCAGTAATAATAGTAGTAGTAGTAGTAGCAGAAGTAGTAGTTGTTTTCGACGAAGTTGTAGTTGTAGTCGTATACAAATTAGATGTTGTTGTGTAGAGAATTATTGAAGCGGTTGTTGATAGGGGCAGAGGGGCGACATTGTGAAATGATGATGACGACGATGATGTTGTCGCTGGTGATGATGTTGGTTTGGTTGTCGTTGCTTGGTTTGGATTGTTGTTGTTGTTGTTTGGCTGGAGGTGTAGTTGGAATGCGTCTTTTCGAAGTTTCAAGGCTAACAACAACAAAATAGTAATAATAATAATGACTCGATATCGTATCATTACTACTGATACTTTCATCATAATCATCATCGTTATCAACAAGAACAAAATCATCAACATCATCATCAAAAATATCATCAACAACAACATCATCATCATCAAGAACGACAACAAACATGGCGTAATATGTTGTTGATTCAACATATTAATTTGTTGGCTTCCTATTCGGGCCGCCGTGGGAACGGGTGCTTTGTCAACTACATCAACGTCTCCAACTGTTGTTGTTGTTGTTGATGTTGTTGTTGATGTTGTTGTTGATGTTGTTGTTGCTGTTGTTTTTATTAAAGTTGTTGATGTTGTTGTTGTTGTTGTCGATTTCAACAACCCCGTCGATGAAAAAAGCAGCATTAAAAACACGGAAACAATAAGACCATCAACAACAAACCTTCACAGATCACATCCACAACCGCAACTTCATCAGGCGCGTCAACTACAGCCTGTATAACTTTAGAAGCAGCTGGAGCTACTTCACTGGCAGCTGTGTCCATAGCTACAGTAGCTGAATCGACAGCAGTTATAGTAGCCGTAACAGCTGTCGTAACAATATCTTCCTCGATGACGGTTTCAATTGTGTGCAGCTGGGCAGGGCTGGTTACCGTCTCTCGAAACATCTTCAGCTGCTTCTTGCCACAGCTGCTACTGCTGCTGCCAATGACGTCATCGTTGCTGGCAACGCCGCCGTAATCTGCTTTGTCGTTGCTGGTGCCGTTGTTCGTTGAAGATGAGTCCTAGGAAGATCATAATAGCATAATAGCATAATAGTGACAATAGCAATCTTACTCTTCTTCTTGCTTTTGATTTTTCCTCTGCTTTTGATACTGTTGATCATACTACTCTCTTGAGGCTGCTAGATCTTTCTTTTAACATTACTGATTCTTGTCTATCTTGGTTTTCTTCTTATCTCTGTAATCGTTTTTCTTCTGTTGTTCTCAATAATTCTACTTCTAACTCCTCTACTCTTACTTTCGGGGTACCTCAGGGTTCAATCCTTGGTCCTCTTCTATTTATACTCTACACATCTGAACTACCTCTCGTATTATTAATAATTTTTCTTTCACTAGTCAACTATATGCTGATGAATCTTATATTTATACTTCTTGTCCTCCATCCAAACTCAATAGTGTTATTATTCATAATCTATCTCTATGTCTTTCTTCAATTATCGCTTGGTCTGACTCTATGTGCCTTAAACTTAATTCTTCTAAATTTGAATTAGTTTGTTTTAACAAATCCAAACACTCTATTACCATTCCTCCTATTATCTTACATGAGTCTAAAACTCTTGATGTCTCTCACAAATTTCGCTGCCTAGGCTTTATCTAGATTGTCTCTTTCTTCTCAATTATTAGTGTTTGTAGAAGTTCTTACTTTCATCTAAGTAGAATAAAAAACTTTTGCCTTTTCTTGACAATCCTTCTCTTCTCTTGTTACTTCGTTAGTCTTATCTAAGATTGATTATTGACTATGGTCTTTCTGATTCTACACTCTTAAAATAAGGCTTTTAACTCAGCTGCGCGTCTGGTTGTTCGTGCCCCTTTCTTTTCTCACATACCTCCACATCTTGTTTCATTGCACTGGCTGTCTATAAAACAAGAACAATTTTTAAAACTTGCACATTAATGTACAAGTTTCAGTCTGAATTCTTTCCTAGATATATTAATGGAACCTAAACGCGCCGGTTTACGATCGTCTTCTTGTTCTCATTTCATGTAAACTCGTGTTAAACGCTCTTCTGCTAAATATGCATTTGCTTTTTCTGGCCCTTTTCTCTGGAACTCTCTACCGCCTTCTCTGACTACTTCTCCATCACTTGCGAAGTTCAGAGCGGATCTCAAGACCCATCTGTTTGCAAAATTTATTGATTGATTGATTGATTGATTGATTGATTGACTCTTTCCCTCATTCATTCATTCATTCACTCACTCATTCACTCAGTCACTCACCATTTTTTTCTCCCCATGTTGGGGCCTGTACCCCCTGCCGCCGAGGTACTCCTTGTTCTGACCGACGCAGTAAGCCCCTGGACTGAAATGCAACTCGACATGGAAACGCTCGTCGGAATTTAACGTCTGCGTTGTTGTTGTTGATGTTGACGATGATGATGATGACGATGATGATGATGATGATGGTGACGATGATGGTGATGATGACCACGCAGGTTATGGTAATGATGATAGTTATGCAATGATGATGATGGTGGTGATGATGATGATCACATTCATATAAAAGTATACAAACTAACAGTCAAATATATACATATATATATATATATATATATATATAAATATATATATATATATGATGATGGTGATGATATATATATATATATAAATAAATATATATATATATATATATATTATACAATCATATGAAGAAGAAAATGATGCTGGTGACGGTAGACAGACAGTCAGACAAACAGACAGACAGAGAGACAGCTAGACAAACAAACAGACAAACAGCCAGACAAGCAGATAGACAGATAGATAGACAGACAGACAGACAGACGGACAACCTTAGTTGGATCCTCGTATAACATGATGACGACTTGCGACAGATAGTTCAGCTCGGACACTGTACCAACGTAGTCCATTGCTCTTGCCCACTGCTCATCCACCTTTGACTGATGATGAGAATGATGAAAAAGAAGATGATGATAATGATGATGATGATGATGATGAAGAAGAAGATAATGATGATGAAGATGATGAAAAAGAAGTAAAAGATGATGATGATGAAGATGATGAAAAAGAAGAAGATGATGATGATGACGAAGATGATGATGATGGCGGCAATGATAACAAAGAAATACAATAAAAATACTGGGTTTTATAACATTATAATGACGACGATGAAGATGATGAAAAAGATGATATGAGAAAAAGTCACCACCCTCATCATCATCATCATCACTAACAACATCATCATCATCAACAGCCACATCATTATCATCATCATCATCAACTACAACATCATTATCATCATCATAATCATCACTTACGTCACAGAGTCCGCCGTATCTCAGCATGGTTAGCAGGGAGTGGATGTGACTCTCACTGGTGAAGTAGAGGCGAGTTTTGACGTGACGCTGCGGTGACGTCACGCCCTCCGAATACCTGGATGTTGGTGGTGGTGGCGGTGGTGGTGGGTGATGATGGTGGTGGTGATGGTGGGTGATGGTGGTGATGTTGGTGGTGGTGGTGATGTTGGTGGTGGTGGTGGCGGTGGTGGTGGTGGCCATCGCTCTCTCTTCGAAAAGAAATAAAAAAAAATAGAGAAAGAGAGAGAGAGAGAGAAAGAGAGAAAAGAGTGAAAAGAGAAATATATATATATATATATATATATATATATATATATATATATATATATATATATATATCTATGATAAAAAAGAAGAGAAAGAAAGAGAAAAAAAGAAAGAGAGAGAGAGAGAGAGAAATAACCAGGCGAACAAACCTGGAATCCAATCTAGTGGGCTCATCGCCATCTTCGTTTCTCTGGAAGTCTGCCAGGATCTTCCTTAGTAGCGGGGTACATATGCACCTACCAATCCCTAACTTCTCGTCTTCCGTCATTCCGTACTCCTTTACCGATGACGTATGGATAGATGGATGAATGAATGACGGATAAATGATGGATGAATTAAAAATGAACTGATGGATGAATGAGTAAATAATGAATGAATGAAGTGAACAAATCAGAAAATTTTCAATTAAGATATTTATAAGAAGACTGAATGAAAAAAAATGTACGTAAACGTGTAAATGTATGTCTGTTTGATTGATTGTTTGTTTGATTGTTCGTTTGGTTGTTTGTGTGTGTGTGTGTTTGTTTGTTTGTATGTTTGTTTGTTTGTTTGTGTGTTTGTTTGTGTGTTTGTTTGTTTGTGTGCATCTAACCTGGGGTATAACGATATCTGCCATTGCCTTAGCTAACGTGTGCAGTGCCTCTATATCCGTAAATCTTAATACCTGAAAAATTTAATCATTCGTTCATTCATTCATTCATTCATTCATTCATTCATTCATTCATTCATTCATTCATTCATTCATTCATTCATTCATTCATTCATTCATTCATTCATCCATCTATCCATCCATTCATTCATTCGTTCCTTCGTTCACTCACTCACTCACTCATTCCAAACGAAACAAAACAACGTTGAACCTTGGAATTGTGCTGCAGGTCGTATTTAACGCAGTCGTAAATATCCGGAACCTTACTGATGTCAAACTGTCCGTCGGCCAGGATGAAATCCTTCACCAACTTTCCCCACCGTCTGTTCATCAGCTCCCACGATTCCCCATGGTATAGCTTCATGTCTATAGTCGTGTATCAGCGGAATGGATGGATGGATGGATGGATGATGCGATGAATGAGTGAGTGATTGAATAGATAAATGGGTAGCCAGTAAATGAGTGGTGAATGAATGAACGAATAGCATTTCCGAGTGGGCATGTGGTATTATGTTGCGGATGAATGTATGATTGGACGAATAAATTAATGAATGTACTTAATGAATGAATAAATAAATAAATAAACGAAGGAATGAATGAGTGAGTGAATGAACAAACATTGAGACTAACCAGATGCCTTTGGGTCTTCTTTGAGTTCGTTAACCCTTTCAACCAGACTGACCATCATGGCATGCATCTTGAGGCAGGCCAGTCTAGGGTTGCCCACAAAAGCCATGGCCTTTATGACCGAGGCACTCTTCGTCGGTACAAACTAAAAGGAACCACGTGATCAATCGATTGGTTGGTTGGTTGGTTGGTTGGTTAGCTGGTTGGTTGTTTGGTTAGCTGGTTGGTTGGTTGGTTGGCTGGCTGATTGAATAAATGGTTGATTGATTGATTGAATAATTGAAATTTTGTTCAATGCTTGATTGATTGGCAGATTAATTGATTGATTGATTAACTGACTGATTGATTGATTGATTGATTGATTGATTTATTGACCGTTTGAATGATTGACTGATTGAATGATTGACTGATAAAAACAGACCGTCTCATAATCTTCATCATTAAACTCTCTGTCAACATTCAAAAGAGATTGCAGTTTTTCTTTCACTCTGTGTAAGTAACAACAACAATAATAATAATAACAACAATAGTAACAACAACGACAACAACAACAATAACAACAACAACAACGACAACAACAACAACGACAACAACCACATCAACATCATCATATCTAACGCCTTGTGATATTCAGTGGACTGATTCTCATTGTCCAATAGTCCATTCATGTTTGCACTCTTGACCATTTGCACTAGGATGGGAGTCAGCTCTCCCTCCAGTGCCAGGAAACCCTTTTGCGGGGGTAGATAGTTGAGGGGGTAGATAGTTGATGGGGTAGATAGTTGAGGAGATTAGATAGATTGATAGATGAATTAATGAACGAATGGATGAAAGGATGAATCAATATACAAATGAATGAATGAATGAATAAATAAACCTACCAATCAGTGGTCAAAATAAATGGACGGAAAGACAAATAAATTACCGAGTGAGTGAGTTATCAAAAAAAAAAAAAAAAGACAAACAAATGAGTGACAGAAGAACGAACGAACGAAAGGACAAACACCGAACAACAGCCACAACAACAACAAGTCCCACACACACCAGCCCTGCCTACACAAGCCCCGCCCACCCAAACCTTGGCAAAGGCAGCAGCGGTCATTTGAACTCTGCCCTCATCTGAGGCATAAATTTTGAGGTCGTGCCTGAAGGTGCTATGAAGTCTAAGGAGGCCTAAGCCCGGGGACTGCCCATAGTCACCTGCAAGGGGCGGTATCAGAAGCAAACTTACTGAGGGGGGGGTGTGAAAGTTTGGGGGTGGTGTTAAGAGGGCAGGTTAGTGCTTGTTTAACGATTATAATTGATGTAATGTGGCCACTGAGCTATGTACCAGTGGAGGTTTAGTTGGTTGGTTTAATGTTGAAATGAATTAATGTCGGATAATAAAATGTAATAATAATAATAATTATTATTATTATTATAACAATTATTATTATTATAAATTATTATTATTATTAATAATATTAATATTATTATTGTTAATATAAGATTTCTGTAAATCGAACTATTGCTTGAAAAAAAGTGAAATAATACAAGCAATGTGCTTTATGTATGTGTGTGTGTGTGTGTGTCTGTGTGTATATCTGTGTGTGTGTGTGCGTGTGTTTCTATCTGTATGTGTCAAAAAACTCAGTTGAATATTGAGAAATGATAGAAGAGAGAAATGAAATCATAAGCTAGATAGACGAGTGATTAATAACGAAAGATAAAGCAGGAATCAGTGAAATAATACTGATTAAATAGATTAATGAAAAAATTAATTAATTAATTAATTAGTTGATTGAATGAATAATTGATTGATTAATTAATTGATTGATTGATTCTTTTTGATTGAAGGAATGAATGAATAAACGTATGGTTAAGTGAGTTAATGAATTAATTATGGTACGTATGAATAGATGAACGAACGAACAAATAAATGAACGATCTGATAAAACAATAAATGAATGAATGAATGAATGAAGGAATAAATAAACAAATGAATAAATGAATGAATGAATGAATGAATTAATTAATAATCAATGAATAGACGATTGGAGAGAAATGAAAGGTACAATGAAAATCAGAGCTAGAATAAGCACAATTTGAAAAGCGCAAACTATCAATAAAACTTTATAAAACACACACCACACACACACAAACACACACACACGCGCGCGCGCACAAACTCGCACATCACCTATAAAACCACACATAAAAACACACACATTTATATGACAGGGTTTGGCAAACCATGGCCCGTGAAGCTATTTTATGTGGCCCGCTAGAGGCCCCTTGTTTGCCAAAAAAGGTCGTCTGCAAGACATTATGACCAAAAAAAGAACCACAAATCTCAAAAGAATTCTCCCTGGGTCGAAAAAATTTGCTATTTAAATACATATGCGGCCCTTTCTCAATGCGGCCCTCACGGCAAAAAGTTTGTCAACCCCCTGATATACTTATAACTACAAACACACACACACACACACACATATATATATATATATATATAATTATACATTAGAAATGTTCCATTGTTAAACTCAAATAATAATAATAATAAAAATAATAATAATAATCCATGCAAAAAACCAAATAAGAACAACAAAAGCACTAAAATTACTTAATGATAACGGTAAAAAATAAATTAAAAAACTGACTAACTATCATCATCAACGCCACCATCATCATTACCATAACCACTGAGACTGCAAAAGCTACTACCATAATCACCACCACCACCATCTGTAGCAGAATCATCATCACCACCGCCAACGCCATCATCATCATCACTATCACCATAGATTGAGCATGCACTATCTCTGTCTAAACATTCCAAGATGAGAAAAATATTTTTCGGCGTGTTAGTGGTGTGGTGTGAGTAAAACCAAAGACATTAAATAGCATTCATTATGGTGCAAGCAATTTATGCTATGTTATGTGTATTCAAATTAACAGTGGCAAAAATTTTACGCTAACAAAAATTATTAAATTTATTATGACCATAATTTAGTGTATAAATTTATTTATAAATATATATATATTAATATATATTTATATATATATTATATATAATATATATAACTTGAGAGTACATTAACTATTTATATATTATATATATATATATATATATATATATATATATATATATTATCATTAAAATTTATGAAGCGCTTATTAAAAATAAGTGTTAATTTTTCAAAAGCGCTATCCTATAACTAACAGAAATAGCTGAAAAAGTAAATGAAATAAACCACAAATAAATCAGTTCACAGTTATTGATTAAATAAATGAGTCTACAAATTCTTCCTAAAATATATATATATATATATAACTTGAGCGTACATTAACTAATTAAAAATAAACCAATGAGAAAAAAGAATTTCTGGTTAAATCATAAATAAATTTAAAAGTAATAAATACTAAATATAATAATAATCGTAATAATAATAATAAATAATAATAATAGAAATAATAATAATGATATTATCACCATTATTATTATTATCATTTATTATCATTTTAAAATGCAGGCTAATGTGTATTATAATTAACTAGCTGGGAACCAATAACAACAACAGCAGGCAAACATAAACAGACCAACGAACGAATGGACGAACGAACGAACAAACAAACAATTAAACGACACTTCATTTAATTACTGCAATGCTGAATACTAATACAACAACTACTACTTCTACTACTACTACTACTACTACTACTACTACCACCACCACTACTACTACTACTACCACTACTACCACCACCACTACTACTACTACTACTACTACTACTTCTACTACTACTACTATTACTACTGCTACTGCTACTACTACTACTACTACTACTACTGCCGCTGCTGCTGCTGCTACTACCACTACATAAGTTATTGATATTGTTAGTGTAAAATCAGTGCCAGCAATAAGCAAATAACGACATTAATCAACATTAAAAATAAGCAGTAAGTAC